CTGTGGACATCGACAGCTACCTCGTCCCTCCTAGTCCGCCTGGTCTGGAAGGAAATCAGCGCTCAGGTACGAACTCAGCTGTGCCTGTCTCTTCACACATGGTGCAGGAAGTGATGTGAGTACTCCGACCCAGTGAGTAATAAAATTAAATAACGACTGAGAACATAAAATCCCACAAGGGCACAAATAATGCTATCTCAAGCAGCAACATCAGATAAACAGTAGAAACCAGTGAAATATAGGAAGAAAATCTCTTTGAAAACAATTAATAAAACAAGTATGCTCAAGTATGGTCAGCCATTGTTACCTGACCGGTCAGCCATTGTTACCTGACCAAACGCGTATTACAGTGCCATTGTTACCACTGGTCAGTCATTGTTACCTGACTGGTCAGTAATTGTTACCTGACCAAACGCGTATAACAGTGTCATTGTTACCACTGTTCAATATTTAATCACTCTAGATGGGTACCCGCGCTCACTGTGGGTGTGCAGACTCCGGAGGGGCTCCTACAGCCCAAGCGCTATCAACAAGGCCTGAAAGCCTGAACAGTATCAATACGAGGCCTGAAAGCCTCCTCACCTCACTCATCATGCCCTCACATTAGGCCCTCGGCCTCAATCAGTCCAGAAATAGTCAACAGCCCCTCGGGCAACAGTAAAGCAATAATACTCAGCTCAAACAATAGTTCAAATATCAGTTTAACACTCCAAGTTTGAGTAAATATGGCTAAGTTCAAGAAAACGGTGTAAATCACATGGACTGAGTTCAAATAATATTTCAAACAGTGAGGAAAACAGTGATGATAGTTCATAATGAGTTCAAACAGTCGGCAATAAGCCCCAATTATGGCAATAAGCCCAAATCATAGTGAAAAATAACAAGTCATTGCTTCTGCGATCCAACTTCGCATCTGCGGGACCGCTTAAGCGACCCAATGTCCCGTTTCTGCGGAACCTGACCTGGGCTCCTATTTCCGCTCCTGCGAGGCCTGGCTCGCTTCTGCGAGACCGCATCTGCGATCTCCTTTCCGCAGATGCGGAAACACCTGCTGCAACCAAAAACCTGCAATTTTCCAACTTCAAATTCCTTCCGTTAGCCACCCGAAATCACCCCGAGGCCCCCGGGACCTCAACCAAGGTTACCAACACATCTTAAAACATTATTCAAACTTGTTCCAATCCTCAAAACTCGTCAAACAACGCTAAAACCATTAAATCACATCGAATTCAAGCCTAAGTTTCTTCAAAACTTCCGCAATACGCATTCGATCTAAAACCCGACCAAAACATCTCTGAATGACCTGAAATTTTGCGCACACATCCAAAATCACCTAACAGAGCTACTGCAACTCTCGGAATCCCATTCCGACCCTCGGATCAAAATCTCACCTACCAACCGGAATTTGCCAAAAATACTAACTTCGCCAATTCAAGCCTAATTCTACACTGGACCTCCAAAACCAATTCCGATCACGCTCCTAAGTCACAAATCATCCCCCGAAGCTAACCGAATCTCCGGAAATCACATCCGAGCCCTCTAACTAACCAGTCAACTTCCGGTTGACTTTTCCAAAACAAGCTTTCCTTAAAGAGACTAAATGTCTCATTTCCTACCAAAACCAAACCAATCCAACTCGATTACCTCAAATACCGATAATGAAGCATAGAGAAACATAATATGGGGAAAACGGAGCGGTAACTCACGTGACGACGGGCCGGGTCGTCACAATGGGATGTATCAAAGTAGAGAGAGAAAGAAAATATTGTAACTGATTAGCGTATTTAGTGGCTTAGGGCTAGGAGGTTACCAAAATTAAATATTTTGCTATAAACCTTAAAAGGTATCTATAGAATATAATTTTTTTAAATGGTATTTATTTAAAATAAATAAGGTGTTAACCTTTGCTATAGGAGGTAAAAATTCCTAATTTTTACACCGACAATTATAGAGCTTAACTTAAATTATTCCCAAACTTGTTTCTGTTACGCTAACTCCACCCCACCATCAATCTTGAATGTTTAAAGATAACTCTTGAGAGGCATCGCTAAACTCGCCTTTTATTCGGGTTACTGTTGCCTTAAAAAATAGATAAACTAAATTATCTTAATCAAGGATCATTAGATAAAATCCACTTTATCAAATATGTTGATTATAATGCTTCAGTGCTAACCTCATGTGTAGCATCTTGTTTGGCTAGATTACCATGTTGGATGCCAGCATATCTCTTTAAAAAGTTGATTAGATATTATTAATGATGATTTATCTAAGGATTTAATCGTTAGATTTTGTTGCAAATGTTGTTTGTCTGTTTGTTCTTCCTTAATTCTACTATTATTGAAGTATATCTTTGTCCTCGTGTTGATTCTTCCACTTTTCAGCGCTAAATCAAATTAGTGATAAACATTATTTGGAGTCACTTTAGTTACATCAATGTGATGTAGGAAATGGAGTGTAGCAAAGCCCACAAAGATTATTGATAATCATAATATTTTGCAGCATTAAATTAAATAACAATTCTTAAAAAATTTAGTATATATGGAGACAATTTAAATTTACAATTGTTAGAATATACTATAAGCCATGCGTATTGTTATAGTATTCTTTATGAACAATTATTTATTTACTTGTTTAAATTCAATAAAGTTTCATTTTAAATAGATCATGTGTTGGTTTGTGTGTCCATTGCTTACATAGTAGATGATTTAGTGTATAGAGTTTAGCTTATACACGGAAGATTAAATCATCGGTTCTTGTAAGACATAAAAGTTAATGTTCACAATCTAATGATGGAATTGGACAAATCATCGGAATGATTGTAGCACAAGATTAAATATAATTTATCTTGATTATGGGAATGGTTTAATTCCAACTTCTTGTGCTAGTACATTTTGTATGTATTGAACGGATCAAGTAGAGATAAGTATTTTATACTGACTTTATAAAATAATTTCTCTAGTCCATTTAATGTACTTTATACTCTTAATCCTGATATAATTATTATTAGCTGTGTATGTCACTTGTTGTTTTGATTTATTAAAAGGCGAGATTCTTTCGCGAGTCAATAAGCCTGGTAAATTGGATAACAATGATATACATTGGCGAAGTAATAATTAGCTGATGGAATCCATGTCTCGGTTTTGAGATTGATGATACTCCTTTATGAAAGCTTATAAGTTTTCATGTGTAAACCCGGCCGGTGAATTTTGTATCCGACACATGAAATAAGTTAAGTGTAAGTCTAAAGGAAGTAATCAATAAATTAAATAGTCAGTAATTTAATTTGATTGATTAGTATCTGAATCTTAACATGGGGAGTTAAATAAGGTTTTATGGAAGAATTTCGAAATTGAACTAAGGAGTGCAATTACGATTTTTTAGTGGAATAATTCGTAGTTTATTATGGTGGAAATTAATTTCAGAATTTCGAAATTAATATCATAATAGGAAGCCTTGTTAATTAAATTCTGTGGTCCCTACTGTGCCTAAATAATAGGAAATAGTGAAAACTGTTACTTAGTGGGAAAGAAAACGTGGAAACCGTCCCTTAGTGGGAGAAGGAAACCTAACAGGTTTTGAAGACGGTTTTGACCTAAACAAAACGCAGCTATATATATGGATATAGGGGCTGGACGTTTTTTTTTTACTATTCTTGCTGCGGTTTCTGCTAGAATTTTGCCCACCCAAAATTCTCTATTTTCGCTTATTGTTTGGGTAACACAGTAGAAGACTGTGGAAATCTGCTGGTGCGTTTCAACTGAGGAACTGGAGAACGACATAGATTTGATGTGTTTACGCTTCAAGAGGTAATCCGAAGATCTCCATATGTGCTAGTTGTTTAGATTACACGTGAATAAGATACTGGGATTGCTTCCGCTGCTTATTATAATCCAACAATTGGTATCAGAGCCTGCTCACGTCTAATTAAATAATTAGGATAAACCATAAGGATTAATATCATGTTCTATATGTAAAGTTTTGAATTACATGCAAAGCTTATTTTTCTGAAAAGCTGCACTGTTTTGGCGTGATTATCTGTTATAGGTTGTATTGATTATTCTGAAAACTTGATTTATCCTTTTAATATTGGTGAGGTTGAGTTAGAATAATCTGAAAGTTGAATTTTATCATGTAAAACGGATAAACAAGTTTTGCCGAATTAGGACAGAAAATCGGAGGTCAAAAAGTTGACGGACTCCGATTGACCTGAAACTTGGCAGGTCCATGCGAAACGGCCCAGTGAGCAATACTCATGAATTTCATGACCTAAGTCGTTTTTTGGGCTTTCGGGGTCGTTTAGATGGTGTTTTTGCTGTTTTTCTAAAATTCTGAATTTTTTTAGTTATTTTTTATTCCAGTAATTGTGGGGATCAATTCCCTTGGTCCCCAGGGTTAAAAATCAGTGATATAATATTTTTACACATTGACATAGGTCTTTTTTCATATCGGATAAAAATATTATGAATAATCACTGTGTTATACTAGTCATTGATTATTTGTATTTACTCTCCATCTGAGTATGTATGTTGGTTCAATGGGACTAATATATGTTGAATGTTGATATTCACTTGGCTTAAATTAACATTTTACTCTCCATCTGAGTATGACCTGTTTAAGTTTATGGAGTGAAAATCTGTCATTATATATGTACATTGCAAGAATAGCTTCTTTCCCATCGAAATTTGTTGTTCAAGGTGCATAGATTGTATATATATATAGTGTGTTTTGAATTTTAATGTTCATAATACAAACTGATTTGATCTATTTAAATATTTAATGTCTCCCAGATTGACAATGACTGCTTCAATCCCTTTACTGCCATTCTTACTCAAAACAAACTTGAGGGTCCAAATTATGTTGATTGGAAACGAAATTTGGATATTGTTCTAATTGCTGAAGAGTACAAATTTGTGCTCGATGAGGTGTGTCCAGAAAAACCTGGAGATGATGCCACAGATGATGAATAAAAGGCTTACCGGAAATGGATTAAGGCTGATGAGATGGCGCGGTATTACATTTTGGCATCCATGTCGAATGTTCTGCAACATCAGCATCAGTCGATGGAGTCTGCTTATGACATTCTGGAAAATCTCAAAGAAATGTTCGGAGATCAGAATCGTGCGGCTAAGCAGACTGCCATGAAAGCTCTTCTGAATACCAAAATGGTTGAAGGTTCATCAGTCAGGGACCATGTTCTGAAGATGATGAGTCTTCTGAATGAACTGGAGGTCCTTGGAGCTAACATTGATAAGGACACGCAGGTTGAAATGATCCTGAAGACTTTGCCTGACAGTTTTCAGCAGTTTCGCCTGAATTATAACATGAACAAAATGGATTTGTCCCTTGCGAAATCGCTGAATGAGCTGCAGGCGGTAGAGACTATTATCAAGTGCCAAGATCCTCCCGTGGCATTGAATTTTGAGGCAGGTAACGATACCTAGTCTCTAAGACCAGGTAAGCCTAATAGTTGCGGAATAACTGAATAACAACAGAATTAACATCTAAACCTTAGCAACATCAGTATATATATATATATATATATATATATATATATATTATATATATATATATATATATATATATATATTATATATTATATATTATATATATATATATATATAAGTAAAGCTGGAAACTGTCGCTCGGCATATACAAGTAAAACCAACAAATTTGAGTATAAACATCTCCCAAAGACCCGGTCACAAGTCACAAGCTCTAAGGAATTTTTCTGAGTGTCTCCATACATCACTATCTAGGAAAAATAAAGAAGAAACGACATAAATGGATAGAAGGGGACTCCGAGGTCTGCGGATGCTAGCAGATATTCCTTGAAGTATCCGTAGCAGCAACACGACTCTCTACTAATAGCGGGGCTGGTAGGAGGTACCTGGGTTTGCACACAAAGCATGTGCAGAAGAGTAGCATGAGTACACCACAACGGTACCCAGTAAGTGCCAAGCCTAACCTCGGTAGGGCACTGACGAGGTCAGATCAGGGCCCTACTAGGATATAATAATTAAAGCAGAAGATATAATAATATAGTGGAAGACTGAGAATTTAACTATGAGAAATACATAAAAGGAAACTACACAACAAATAGGGATAAACGACAGGGGCGCTCCCGAGAAATCGCCTCGTAGTCCCAAAAGTAAATGCTCAACAGGGGATCTCCCGAGGTACCGCCTCGTAGTCCCAAAAGTAAATATGCAACGAGGATCTCCCGAGGTACCACCTCGTAGTCCTAAAAGTAAATATGCAACGGGGGATCTGCCGAGGTACCGCCTCGTAGTCCCAAAAGTAAACACACAGCTCAGAACCGATGGAAACAACGATTAACAGCAAGAAATCCTACAGTTTAAGACTAAGTACAAATCAAGGAAAAAGCAGGAATTCAACTAAGCATGCTGCACAGATTTCAAATAAGCATTTAAGACAGGTAGGCATACGATATTAGGCAAAACAGGATAACTACACATGTTGGGGTGACTCATTTAAGATGTAACAGGTTACTGTTCACCAAAACCGAATTTTCAACAATTAGCCCATGTATGCACTCGTCGCCTTGCGTACACCGCACTCACCTATCATAGAATTGTCACAACAGTACCAAATCCTAAGGGGATTTCCCCCACACAAGGTTAGGCAAGCCACTTACCTCAAGCCAAGCTCAATCAGTCAATAAAGATGCCTTTTCCTCGACTTTCCGACTCCGAATGACCCAAATCTAGCCAAAAGCAATTACATACCATAAATATAACTATAAAAAACTAATCTAATTAATAAAATCAAGTCTTTAGCAAGAAATTAGAAATTTGCCCCAACAAGTCGACCCGGGCCTACATCTCGGTCAGGTAAAAGTCACAAAATATGAACACTCATTCCACCACGAGTTCACCCATACCAAAAATTACTCAAATCCGATAACAAAATCTCAATTAAAATCCTAAAACTCGGTTTAAGAACTCCAACTTTTTCCCCAAATTTCTCAACCCAAAACCTTAATTAGAAGATGAAATTAACGATATATTAGTGGAATATAACAAAAAACGAGTCAAGAATCATTACCCAAATGCGTCCTCTAAAAATCCCTCAATTGTTTGCCTCAATTCGAGCTCACAAAGTCCCAAAATGAAAATGGGATCAACCCTTTGAAATTTCCCCTTTTCTGCCCAGCGATTTCCCTTCTGCAAGGGCTCCACCGCATCTGTGCCTCCGCACTTGCGGAAAAACCATCACAGGCGCGGACTTCACTTAAGTCCAAACTCTCGCTTCTGTGAGCAAAAGGGCCACACCTGCGCGCCTGCTTCTGCGATCAACGGCCTTCCTGGCCTTCCGCTTCCACGTTCCATCTTCCGCAGGAGCGACTCCAATTCTGCGGTCTCCACATCGCACCTGCGATCTCTGGCCTTTTCCTTCCAGACCGCACCTGCGCCCCATAGCTCGCTTCGGCGAGCTCACACCTGCGATGGGGACTCCGCAGGTGCGATTACACCAGATGATGCCCAGCTACACCAATCCTCACAAGTCCAATTCTAGTCCGTTAACCAACCGGAATCCACCCGAGGCCCCCGGGACCTCAACCAAACATACCGACAAGTCCTAAAACATGATACGAACTTAGTTGAGCCTCTAAATCACATCAAATAACATAACAAACACGAATCGCACCCCAATTAAAGCTTAATGAACTTCAAAACTTCAAAATTCCACAACCGATGCCGAAACCTATCAAACATGTCCGATTGACCTCAAACCTTGCACACAACTCATAATTAACATTACGGACCTACTTCAACTTGCAGAATCGGAATCCGACCGCGATATCAAAAAATCCACTCCAGGTCAAACTTCCCCCAAAAAAATCAAACTTTCGCCATTTCAAGCCTAATTCAACTACGGACCACCAAATCACAATCTGGACACTCTCCTACGTCCAAAATCACCCATCGGAGCTAATGGAACTAACGATACTCCATTCCAGAGTCGGCTTCTCACAATTCTAACTACGTTCAAAATTTTAGAACTTAAGCTTTCATTTTAGGGACTAAGTGTCCAATTTCACTCCAAAACCAAAAACAAATCCTCCCGGCTAGGTACATAAGCATAAAATGAAACAGAGAAAGCAGTAAATAGGGGATCGGGGCTATTACTCTCGACTGGGCTGGGCTGGACTGGGCTGTACGAAGTCGATCCTGAATCACCTTAACCTTCTCCAATGAATCCTGAACCAAGCCTGTACCCAATAGCCTAGCCTCTCCCGGCTCGAACCAACCCACTAGAGACCGACACCGTGTACCGGACAAAGCCTCGTACGGGGCCATCTGAACAATCGACTGATAACTGTTGTTTTAGGCAAACTCCACAAGTGGCAAGAACTGATCCCATGAACCCCCAAACTCCATCACACACGCACGGAGCATATCCTCCAGTATCTGAATAGTGCGCTCGGACTGCCCGTCCGTCTGAAGGTGAAATGCTGTGCTCAACTTAACCCAAGTACCCAAATCATGTTGTACGGCCCTCTAGAACCGTGATGTAAACTGCGTACCCCGGTCAGAGATGATAGATACCGGCATGCCATGAAGTCTGACAATCTCGCGGATATAAACTCGAGCCGCTGCTCGAAAGAATAAGTAGTTATTACAGGAATGAAATGAGCTGACTTGGTCAACCTATCCACAATCACCCAAACTGCGTCAAACTTCCTCTGAGTCCGTGGAAGCCCAACAACAAAATCCATAGTGATCCGCTCCCATTTCCACTCCGGAATCTCTAGCTTCTAAAGCAATCCACCTGGCCGTTGATGCTCATACTTCACCTGCTGACAATTTAAGCACCAAGCTACATACTCTACTATGTCCTTCTTCATTCTCCTCCACCAATAATGCTGCCTCAAGTTCTAGTACTTCTTCGCGACACTTGGATGAATGGAGTGCCGCGAACTGTGAGGCTCCTGGAGAATAAACTCACGCAAACCATCTACATTTGGCACACATAGCCTGCCCTGCATCCTCAATGCACCACCATCTCCAATAGTGACCTCCTTAGCATCACCGTGTTAAACCATGTCCTTAAGGAAAACAGATGGAGGTCATCATACTGACACTCCCTGATACGATCATAAAGAGAAGACTGAGAAAGCACACAAGCCAAAACTCGACTCGGCTCATAAATGTCCAGTCTAACGAACTGGTTGGCCAAGGCCTAAACATCCAATGCCAATGGCCTCTCTGCTGCTCGTAGATAAGCTAAGCTCCCCAAACTCTCCGCCCTGCGACTTAAGGCATCGTACACCATATCGGCCTTCCCGAGATGGTACAAAATGGTATTATCATAATCCTTAAGCAGCTCCAACCACCTCCGCTAGCGCAAGTTAAGTTCGATTTGAACAGATGCTGCAAACTCCAGTGATCGGTGTAGATCTCACAATGGACACCGTACAAATAGTGCCGCCAAATTTTCAAGGCATGAACAATAGCTGCTAACTCAAGGTCGTGGACAAGATAGTTCTTTTCATGCACCTTCAACTGCCTAAACGCGTAGGCAATCACCCTACTGTCCTGCATTAACACAGCGTCGAGACTAATACAAAAGGCATCACAATATACAGTATAAGACCACGAAGCTGTAGGTAATACCAATACTAGAGCCGTAGTCAAAACTTTCTTGAGCTTTTGAAAGCTCTCCTCACACTCCTTTATCCACCTAAACGGAGCACCCTTCTGGGTCAGCCTGGTCATAAGTGATGCGATAGATTAGAAACCCTCTACAAATCAACGGTAATATCCCCCCCAAACCCAGAAAACTCCGGATCTCCATAGCTAAGGACGGTCTGGGCGAACTCTACAATACATCAACCTTCTTCGGATCCACCTTGATCCCATCACTCGACACTACATGACCCAAAAATGCCACTGAGTCTAGCAAAAACTCACACTTTGAAAATTTTGCATATACCTTGTTTTCTCTCAAGGCCTGGTGCACAGTCCTCAGGTGCTGCTCATGATCCTCCCGACTCCGGGAGTACACCAGAATGTCGTCAATGAACACAATGAAGAATGAGTCAAGATAAGACTAGAACACATTGTGCATCAAGTGCATGAATGTTGTTGGGGCGTTGGTCGGCCAAATGACATCACAAGGAACTCATAGTGACTATACCGAATCCTGAAAGGAGTCTTTGGGATATCTGGCTCCCGAATCTTCAACTGATGATAGCTTGAACGTAAGTCAATCCTGCAAAAACACTCTGGTACCCTATAACTGATCAAATAGGTCATCAATACGAGGCAATAGATACACGTTCTTCACTGTAACATTGTTAAACTGGCAATAATCAATGCACATACACATAGAACCATACTTCTTCTTCACAGACAAGACCCAAGCACCCCAAGGTGACACACTGGGCTGAATGAAGCCCTTATTAAGCAACTCTTAT